GCGCGATAGTCCAGTGGTTACAGCACTGAACTCTGACCCTCGTGGTCCCGAGTTCAATTCCTCGTCGCGGCTGTCGTAAAAATGCCTGCGCTCTGACTGCTACCTCGAGTCTGAGAAAACGACATATCGGCTTGAGAAGTCAAACGCAGATGTCGCAGGGGAAGTCACCGCCGCGGCACAAGTGTTAACGCGCCGCGGTTGATTAGGAACGGCATTCAATCAGGCAAGGGTGACACCTACTGAATTGAGAGAGGCCTATGTCCTGCAGTGGAATGAATGGCTGTTGAAATATATACAGCTGTGATAGATTTGAAATGCTATGCATGCAAAATTATTTCAACTACCACACTTAAATTAACATTTAATAATATGCGACAGAATGTACGCACTAATGAACGGTGACGTGAAAAATATACGCAAGCTTTCTCCCAAGCGAATCTTCTCGGGGTCAGCTAATCTCCCGAGGTAGCCATGTCTAGTTGCGCATGCAGACTCCATCGACGGGGTCTATAAACAAAAATACCGTATCATACGAAGCGAACGAGCCGGGAAAATTTATAAGTAACGCACTCTTTTCTGTGAATCTGTGGTGGGCGGTCGCGACTTGTCCTACGGGCATCTATCACGAATCACACGATCGCCTGGGATTTACCCAAAGCATGCAAGCAACTTCTAGAGGGTGAGAAGCGTGTGATTAATAAGCGCATCACGATTCCAGCTTAACCCTAGACCTACATTAGTTAACGGACGTAAATGCGGTCACACCGACTCAAAAGTTGCCGATCGAACGAATAACTTCGGTTATACCTGTACCTACTATCGTTGCGTCGGAGCGTAGATCTATTAGGCGACCTATGCAATCCCGGGTTATATCGGGAATTTCTGTTCACTATGACTTGAGGAAGATCCTAACGCTATACTCAAAATAACAAATGTGTAAAAATACAAGTTCCGCCCTATCGCCGATAGAACGTGTCACCCAGTGAGTAATGCAACGATGCCATGGTGTCAATAACAACCAAATTACGGGGAAAACGAGCAGTCACCTCTCGCCATCTTACGTGTCGACCGACCGGAAGAGAAAGCGAAGGCAGGTCAAGACGTGGAACGCGCGATGAGAACAGAAATAAATGAAATGATATTCGTGATAAGATACAATCACGAAATCTTTGAATTCGTTGTATTTGAAACAATATAAAACTCTAATAACAAGAGAAATAAATTAAATAATTCATGAACGACATTCATGTTTGATGACCACATATCGTAATCAGACAGCAATGCAACCTAAAATCAAATCAAATCATCAACGGAAGAGTCTGGGCTGACCCGCCGTGGCACACACAACGGTTGTCCTCCAGCACTTTCTGTCTTGCGCACGTCTTAGCAGGTGGGCCATAGATCTGGATATTGCTTCGGCTCATTTCTCTGCAGACTGTGTCAAGTTTTCGCGGCTCCTTTAATTTGCGAACATTCCAAGTGACAATGCGAATTGAGGAAGAAAGGACCATGCAAAATTAGTAGATCAAGGGCTGAGGCCCAGGGTAGGAGAGATACACAAAAAGGAGTGAATGATAAAGATGATGTTGCTTTAGTGTAAAGAAAACTCAAGTAGTATTATCATCAACTTTATTGTGGTATTTCATGACACTTGGAGTTGAATGTATGAATGACTTCCAAGTTAGTTTTTTATTGTTTTTTTCTTCAATTTACAAGAAAAATGATGCAGGACATCACACCAAATTACGGGTACCAAGAAATGCTAGGTTAAAATACTGTCATTCAATGATGAAACTTCATTGCTTTATCTACTTCACAGAATCCAAGACTAGGTTCCAATACATTTTCAGTATATATATATACAAAAATAAAAAATGCAATCTTCATGACTTGCAAATAAATAATACATTTCTAACATTCCTACAACATCTGAGCCTTACTGGTGATAACGGCTCCCACTTGAAGCTTCCCATGTAAGGCAAGAATGCAAGCATCAATATCAAAAATGTAAAATTCAACTTTTTTTTTTGCTGTTTTTTAAAATTTGTTTTTTTTAATTTATTTCATTATTCTTAGAGAGCTACACAAACCATGCACACCAGTGGCTTTTTATGCACTGCTCTCTTTCTCTCTGCATGAAATATATGTATTGTCTTTTTTCCTACATTTCAGAAAACTAAGGTGTCTAGGAGCAGACTGAGATGGAAGGGGAAAAGCTAAATTTATATACAAAAGGTATATAATATTGGAAATCTACAATCCTAATGAGATATAAAAAATGTAGATCTTGAGTTGATAGAACATAACAAATGAAAAAAATGAAAGAAAGAAAAAAAAACAAAATAAGGGAGAAAAGAGAGACAAACCAACAAAATGGCCCCAAACACCGAAGAAAAAGTCTAAAAACCTATTTAAGCAAAGTGCACACTTAAAACTTAATTTCAGAAATAGGCTTGAACATAAAAAAAGCAATAACTAAAATAAGGAATGACACAGGCTTTCCTTAAAAGAATAAAAATAAATAAATAAAATACAACCTCAGTGAGAAAGTATACATTTCCTCAGCACAAAATCAAGCAATATCCAAGCTTTGAAATTTAGTATGGTTTAAAACTGCAGCAAAATTAAAAATTTGTTATTACAAAGAATAAAAAGTACAAATACAGTTTACATGGGGAAATCAGTACATCTTTAGTACTACAATTACTATAGTGTACCCTATATGAATAGAGTCAATCAAAACCAGCCAATGCTTGAAACAAGGACATATGAAAATATATATAACACTGCTAAAAAGAAGAAAAATACGATGAACTGATAACACACTATCCGCACACAACAGACAAAAAGGAGGATAAAGAGAAAATTATTCATAACTGTAAAATGAAAACTTAAGTTCACTACTAGGACAAAACGTTGTATTAAAACAAAAAAATGTAATGGTTCTTTCGGAAAGGCAAGCAAAAAGCGAGGAAAATCTCGGCTATGACCAACTTCTTCGTACAAGGAAAAAATATTCATAGATCTGCTCGGAAACTTCAACGTAAATAAATAATGACATTTTTGTAACTGATGCGCTATAATTCAGAAGAAAAAATTTGAATAATGTATAAATGTATAAGATAAGACTGAAAAAGAGTATGAAACAATTGCTCAATATCATTCAAAACTGAAAATGTAAACTCTAACACTGTCGACAGCAACGATAGTCTTGAATGTCATTCTAATTACTGCAGAAGAAAAGCATTTCATATCAAACTGTCTTGCGTAAGACAATAACCTGGTACTTAAAATGATGTACAACAGAACTTATCTTTCATTAATCATATGAATGAAGCATGAAACTCAGTGAAATATTTCATTAAAGTATTTTTTTGATAATCAATATTCCTAAACTGATAAGGGAGTAATGATATATATTCTTGTCCACAGTCATATGAAGCAAACTATTATATATATATATATATATATATATATATATATATATATATATATATATATATATATATATATATATATATATATATATATATATATATATATTCAACATCTATTAACATATCACTAAAATCAAATACTAAAGTTAAATATAAATATAAACCATTAAAAAAGCACCTGAATTATAGCAGATCTATCATCAGTTAAACAATTTTTTTATATCTAAAAATCACAAAATCTAAATGTCAAACTATTAAAAAAAGAATAGTAAAAAAAAACTACCAACTTTATGCTTAACTGGCATTTTTTTTCCTGCAATAATCTTTTTTATTGCACCTTCATGAGCATCCATATGACCACATCTAGTCCTTTGAATTCACAAAATAATTTGCACTTCACACACATGCAAATACAAACACAGACACATACATACATAGGTCAATATATGCAACTTGTATTATCAAAATGTGATATCAATGACCTCTTCACAATGAGGATTTGCAGGAATACCAAATTCCTTACTGTGGAAGAAACAAATACAAAACAAAAAAAAAACATACATCCAATAACAAACACAAACACATTTGATATTTAGTAAGTATATATCAGAGTAATATCACAATAGATATTCTTTCTTATCACATGGCCTCATTAATCTTATTCAAAACTGATCATCACCACCATCTACACTGGCATATAAAGATGCATGGTTCTCTGTATCTTTGCATTCTGACGAGGGAGACGGTGAGGGCGAGAAAACATTATAAAAACACCAGTGTCAATTTAAGTACAACAAATTATTAAATGAATAATAACAAATGCAAGTAAATATAATTATGCAGTCAGGTAGTTTTGGTGATAAACTCACAAACGACAAAGTAATGACAGTTACGTTTCACAGCTGATGAATACGACATGTTTATGTACAGAAATAATCTTTCAATAGGTACCAAACCTAGTTCCAGCTTTTTTTTTTCTTCTTCTGTTCATTATGCTATCCAGTACAAGAGCCTTAGTAGGAACTGGCCCATTGTATAAATTCACTCGACAAGCTCCCTTTGCATCCCACACTGTTTTAGAAGCATTCACTGATGACAGGACATCTGTATGATCTTATTTCATTTGTTTTTCTTTTTAATTTATATCCTAATGCACAAATGAAAACAAACCCAGCTACCTTCAAACCCCCCTCCCTCACACACACACACACACACACACAAACACACAACCAATTAAATTCTCTCATTAATAACACAAACATTGTCTCCTCCCTTAATACCTGGTTAGTTCAACAGTTATCATGGTAAGGCATCACAATTTGTAATGAAGTTGTATTTGAATAATACTCCATTAACCCCTTAAGACAGCAATTTCTTGAATTTATGCTGTGGAAAATATAACGTGCTGATATGTCACATAGTCATCACACAGCAGAACAAAAAAAAGGTAATGCTACCATAGAAAACAGGGGGGGGAGGAGAGAGAGAGTTAGAGAGTTAGAGAGAGAGAGAGAGAGAGAGAGAGAGAGAGAGAGAGAGAGAGAGAGAGAGAGAGAGAGAGAGAGAGAGAGAGAGAGAGAGAGAGAGGAGAGAGAGGAGAGAGAGAGAGAGAGAGAGAGAGAGAGAGAGAGAGAGAGAGAGAGAGAGAGAGAGAGAGAGAGAGAGAGAGAGAGAGAGAGAGAGAGAGAGAGAGAGAGAGAGAGAGAGCGAGAGAGAGAGAGCGAGAGAGAGAGAGAGAGAGAGAGAGAGAGAGAGAGAGAGAGAGAGAGAGAGAGAGAGAGAGAGAGAGGAGAGAGGAGAGAGGAGAGAGGAGAGAGGAGAGATAGAGAGACAGAGAAAAAAAGACAGAATTTGTGGAGACATTTACACCACACAAGAATTCTCATTTTATACTTACTCCATTCATTAACTTGTCAAAAGAGATGGCAGGAGGCACATGTGCAGTTAGCTTAATGGGTGGGGAGGGTGGGGAAGAGAAACTTGTCAAACAGTGCCAGAAATGCTTACTCGTACTCCCTATCCCCTAATGAGAGTGACAGAAAAAAACAGAAAAATTGCCAACCAGACTTTAAAACGATATGGTCAATCAATCCAGACCATGTTGAATATCGAAAGTATTCTAATCATACAAAATCAAATGTCGATGTTGTACTTAAGGGTTTAACTGGAGAATAATTTTAGGACAAATAGGAAATGTTATCATCTAAACTGCTGCCTGTCTTAAACAATTAATTTGAGCATTTGTTCACAACATATGCTTTCTTTTTACAGATTTTTTTTCTTGTCAATAAAATATCTTTGAATCTTTTTTTGATTTATGTATCTATTTTGGTACAAAAAGCAAAAGGAAAAAACTAAATTATATATATATATAAATGTAACTGCAAGAATTTTATCAATCCTGAACTGCGAATATTATCGCTACTATAATTTTATCAATTTACATGACTAAATATGGTGTATTTGCATACAGTAAAATGCATCAACACTCCCAGGATTTATGCCTTGTATTACTTCAGATCTTCTCTTTTACCTAGAAATCAATATAGAGTATTAAACAATGAGAGAAAACAATAAATATAAAGTACAATAATATTAATAATTAAACTTTCAATCACTGGAGCTCACAACAAGATTATCATTACGACACTCATGACTGGTTTTCGTCCTGGGGTTACAAGGAACAGACTGAAAAAATTAGGAAAATTATATATATATATATATATATATATATATATATATATATATATATATATATATATATATATATATATATATATATATATATATAAAGGATTACCAAACGATTAAAAAATGGATGCATATACTAAATACAGAAATAAATTATCAGATGATGTTTATGCAAATCATTTTACAGAATTAGATTAAAATCATATCATGCACATTGCACAACTTCTTGGAATATATAAAATCAGAAATTCAGGTTACTGGCATGACAAGTATTTCATGAAATGAATATCTGTCACTACCCTGTTATGAGGGAAAATGTTATCATCTAAATTACAGTGACTCTCAGAGACAGCTTTTATTCAATGAGACAATTTTCTCATCTTTCCAGGCCCGTTCATTCTGCATAATGCAAATCTAAAAAACAATACAATATTCACACATTACTTCTCAGATCTGTGATGTCATAATTTACAGGCATAAATAATAATGATCTTTTCCTGGGTGTACCTCACACTTTAAGAAATTATTTTCATTTGCTTAGTATTTTGACAGATTTACAGTCAATAAAAAAAATATCTTTCAATTAGTGTAAAAATCCTGTTAAAACACTACAAACAATAGTACAAAAACTAACCAAAATTGAAAATGTGATGGCTCTCCTTTTTATCATTATTGTGGTAACATAAAAAGAATTATTTAAAACTCACTAAAACTTTTCAACTACACTAATTCCTAAAACAAAAAAACAAACAGAAAAGTGAATTCCACCAGACAGGAAAGAAAATGAGAAAAACTGACACTGTTAAAAATAAATTCCAAAATGATATATATATATATGTATATAACAACACGGGTCATCTATAAATAAAAGATTCTTATAAATTCTGCACTGTACAAAAATGAGGGTGAATCTGCATAACAGTAATTGGTAGCAAGTAGTCAATCTGCAACGAGGACAAAGTTTCTACTGCAAGGCTCCTTAGAAGTCGCCTATTACTACCTTCCGCGACTTGCTTTTGGATAACTAACGCATGCTGCTAGCTCCAGGAGGGGTTGTAGCCTTGCCAGTTATTGCCCGGTGCAAGGAATATTCTGTTATTCCCATAAAAGAAACTGATAACTCCCTTGTAGCCTGTTCTTGGTACTCCCGCCTGGAAGAAAAGTAAGGGGGGAAAAAATTCATTAAATGTTATGAAGGATCTGTCTGTATACTTAAGAATGAGGAAAGGTGGAAATGGAAGGCGGGGGGAGGAAGAATGGCATAGGGAGAGAGGAAATGTGAGAGTGAGTGAGTGAGTGAGTGAGTGAGTGAGTGAGGGAGAGAGGAAGAGGGAGAGTGAATGAGTGAGTGAAGGAGGAGAGCAAGAGAGAACGAGAAAGAGAAAGAGAAAGAGAGAGAGGAGAAGGAGGAGGAGAAGGAGGAGGAGAAGAAAAAGAAAAAGAAAAAGAAAAAGAAAAAGAAGAAGAAGAAAAAGAAGAAGAAGAAAAAGAAGAAGAAAAAGAAGAAGAAAAAGAAAAAGAAGAAGAAAAAGAAGGAGGAGAAGGAGGAGGAGGAGGAGAAAGAGGAAAAGAGAAAGATGAAAAAAAGAAAAGAGGGAAAAAAAAGTAGATAGGAGAATTGAATCAAGAAAAAAAGAGAGAAGGGAAAAGGAGAGAGAGAAAGAAAGAAGAAAGAAGGAAAAAAAGAAAGAATTCAAGAGAGAAAGGAAGGAAGGAAAAAATAGATAAAGACAGAGAAAAAGAATACAAGAAAGAAAGCAAACAAATAAAAGAGAAAAATAAACACAATACATATACCCTAAGAGTGTGACAAGACAGACAAAAACGAGGATAATTTATTTTTGCAAGTACTACAGCGAATATGAAAATGACAGGGAAACACAGCAGCATTTTGCCACTTCCACTATGATGTTTTTTTGGCAATGGTTGCAAGATGCAGACCTTGAATTATTTATGAGAAGATGCTATTATCTCACAATGTTATCATCATAAACAGTCACAACTAATGATTCTATTTATATATATATATATTTTTTTTACCTTGAAGTCATCCATCAGGCCAAGTGCCTTTGCAGTCCTCTTGAAGACATCTTTTGTGTGATAAACAATTTTGTACTTAACACCTTGAGTCAAGCGACCTGACTTGACCTCTGTCAAACTCACTACCTGACTATTCTGAACTTCTTTCTCAAAAGTGGGATCATACTGCTCCTGTAAAAAATATATGCAAGTATGTTTAATTGTATCTGTCATGAAGTATGTTTGGTATCATGTTAGATAATAATATATATTGCACATATAACTTCTCATTAATCACACACTGTATGTAAATTACAAACCTGGTGTAAATATGAGAGGTTCAGTTTAGTAAATGGCACAAACACTTCATTTAGATGTATCTGCTTCAAATGTTTCTCATAGAACAACCCACTGCAAAATAGAGAGAAAGTGGAATTAAAAGAGTTCTTAACCATACATAACTAAATGACCAACTACCAAGCACAGACTCAATGGTATAATCCACAGGGATTTCAAATAAACAAATCTTCTAATGTCATCTCCTGTCCTAACTGACAAACTCACCCGGTCTTTCTACTATACAATCAAACAGGCAAACAACCACCACAGAACAACTTACTTGCTGACTCCCTTCTTGCCAAAAGTCCGCGTCCTCGAGACTTCCGGTCTGATACATGCTCTGTTGGCTCTCTGCTCTGGTGCGCGAACCCAGTCGTCCCAGTATGACCGAGGCCACTTTGGCCCCAGCTCGTCCCATAGTTCCCTAGTCATCATCCACCCCAGTCCGGGGAAGAAGTCAGTGCGATAAAGAATGCTACTCCCATTCTTAACATCTACAAGGCCTGCCTTTCCTGTTTTGGAAGAGATAAGAATAATGCTACAAACATGCTTTAGTCTCCTATATCTTGGTCTTGTTTACTGGAATTGAAAATAATTCAGTGTCACTTCCCATAATAGGCACCTCAAGGGACCCAGCCAAAAGTGCCAATTTCGAGAAGTTGCCAAGTTCGGGAAGTTGGGGTTCAACGCAGGTGCACCGGCCGGGACCGCGAAAAACCCGCCTATTAGGGGAAGTTGCCAAGTCCGGGAAGTGCCTATTATGGGAAGTTCCACTGTTGTACATAACCAACAATTCCTCAAGGATTTACTATTCTCATACACATACTTTAGAACAAAAAAGGGAAAACAAAATCAAAATATAAGAATTAACAAGGGCTACAAACAAAGACAATACAAATTCCTTTTCCTCATCAGAAAACTGAAGAATATCCAATACTTTTCACTGAGCCAAATTGTAAATGCTATCTTGAGTAACTAATATCTTTCATCAGTGAGAAAGAACACAAGAAACAAAACTCAAAATCACCTTAACCCAAAGTACTTCAAAAACATTCCATACAGACACAAGTGACAACAGTGGTTCTGATCTCACTTTGCTTAAACCCCTTAAAAAACAAAAACAAAGCAAAACAAGAAAACTTACCATTGTCATTCCACGCAGACACACACCACAGCGTTGGGTCTGATCTTAAGATTGGGTAAGTTGCAGAGAAATACTCGTAGAAATCGGGAGCTACATCCAAATCATCTGAAATGATAAGTTGACTCTTGTGATACAAACATAATCTTATGTATGAAGTCCATACTTCCTCATGACATTTAACATGTCATCCAACATCAATGGCTTAACCCCTTGGTGCCGGGTGACGCCGATCGGCGTGTACACAAAGAGCTCGAAAGCTGGCGTGCAGCCTAATGAGCCAGCGGCGCGCCAAAGCGCGGCGAGCCAGTGATTCGGGCTGATGTCCCCTACTCACGCGCTCAAAGTCGGCGCGCCGCCTTTGTTTGTTTAAGCGTAGAGTTTTTTTTTCTTTTGTACACCCGGCGCCATTGGGTTAAGTGTAATGATAAGAGAGTGAGTGAGTGAGTGAGTGAGTGAGTGAGTGAGTGAGTGTGTGAGTGAATGAGTGAATGAGTGAGTGAGTGAGTGTGTGTAAATATACATATATATGCCTATACATACATACATACATACATTATATTATATTATAATATAATGTATGTATGTATGTAGCCTGTTCAACCGATTTTTTTATCTCTACATACATTATATATATATATATATATATATATATATATATATATATATATATATATATATATATATATATATATATATATTATACATATTATACATATTATACATATATATTTATATAGATGTACATAAACATATATACATATGCATATACATATGTATATGTATACCCACACAAAACTCTACCTCTATCTCTAAATCAGTCTTAACAAATGCAAACCTCAAAAATCGTTTAACCTAGCCACGTTGGTTCTGTCCCCAGTAGTTTTTATAAATATTGTTACATATGGATGGCTCCACATGTGCTCAGCCGGCAAGGAGTCTATCAGTAGGCCCTAGTGACTGATCCTGATTTCCACATTCCTTGAATTGGTATGAAAATGTGTTTTTCCTTTTAATACAATTGATATCAATATTGTTATTATTATTGATGTTATGATTGTCAAATTGTAATCAAAATCTTGGTAACATTTAAGACAATGAAATAATACAAAAGAATCTTTCCAAAATTCAAGGAAAAGGGTAAACAGGTGACACGGGTAGGATTAACAACCGCCTCCTTGGTGACTAAGCAAGTGTAGAGCCATCTATGTGTAAATACAATAAATAAATTTATATTACAGTGGGCATGGCATGTATTCCTGCCATACATGCCGATTGGGTTAAGCAAACAGAAAATATCATCTACAATAATCAGATTCAAACATCAACGCACCTAAAAGCACACTTACCTTCTACTATAATTACAGCCTCATAATTAAACTTCTGAAATATTTGGGTCAGGGCCCATTTGTAATGTCGTGCAATAAGAAAATAACCCTTGAATTTTCTTTCCTTCAATGGCACTTCGATGTCACTCAGGTCTGGTTGCTGTAATAAGAAAAAACAATACATTAATAATAATGATGCTAACTAAAACTATGATAAGCGCAATATCTAACATTATAATCTTTCCCTTCTTGGAATAAGATAAATTTGAAAAATGGTTTCTGTCCAAGACCGACACTCAAAAAATTCTAAACCTGAATCAAACCTGAATCAAAGAAAGCTGATCTCCGTATGACTCTATAGTCTCTCTTGTGGGCTTGTGGCCACAGTCTTGCGAGACTATGATTGGAAATCGTTCCTGGTCTGGCCGGTATTTTAGCAGCAAGTCTATAGATCTTCTTACAGCTGCTTCGCGATTACAGGCAATGAGAAGAATAGGAAGTACCGGTCCGTCCTTTATCAGTCTGAGGTCATCCTGTGAAGTGGGATATTAATCAGCTGATGCACGGACGGAGAGAGTTTGAGAGAAGTAAAAAAGAGAAAAGCATAAGCAGCAAAGGCATATATATTATTCAGTGTAGTATTTTTGTGTCCTACTCACAACATAAACCATTATATCTACTGAAAGGAAATTTGTGTAAATGTGAAGGAGTTTTGTATAAAATAGACCTTATAAGATACCATTCTGAATTCCTACTAAACACTTACCATCAAGAACTGTCCAGCAAAATGAAAAGCTTACACCAGTTTTATATATACCATTGATTCCTACAACACAAAAATACTTCAGAACTTCTCAGGTTCCGAACCGTAACACAAATCATACGCCATTAATGAAAAAACAAGGCATATTTTAAGAGCCCTAAGTCATTTAGAAAATCAACATTCTAATAATGATCTCAAATGCTTCAGAAGTCCTAACCTCCTCATTACTACTGTGTTGGTCTTCCTGCTGCTGTCGCTGTAGCCCGCGCAGCTTCTCTAGGAGTGAGCTGTAGAACTTTGACTGCTTGCTTAGCTCATCTTCGAGTTTGTCTAGCTGCTGGTTGATGTTATGGGACTTCTGTAATACAGTGTTACATTTTGTCTTCTTTTTCATCTACACCTATATTTACTCATCTAGATATTGTTATATAAGGAAAAAAAAAAAAAGGGGGTAATTCATTGACATTAATATTCTTCCATTCAAATTAACACAGACACACACACACACACACAGAAACATGTACTGAATATACATGCATTATCTAACTGCAAAAAAAAAAGAAAAAAAGAACTGCATAACCTAACTATTCTTTAATCTATAATGCAGCATTATCTAACTGCACAAAAAGAGACTGTATAACATAACTATTCTTTAATCAAACATGCATAGTACTCCATATCTTACTTTCATTCTCACATTAATACCCCCCCCCCCCCCTCGTCCCACACCCAAACACACACATACACGCACAAAAGACTGCCGACTAAATTGCATAATGTCTTTGTCATGTTTTCATTGTTATTTGTATCCCGACACTTAGCTGCATGAAAAAAAAAGTGTTACAAAATCATAGAACTCTACAGAGAAAGAAAAAGCAATAAGGCCAAAAGAAAAGCACAAGCAAAAGGAATAACAAGAAAATGCAATAAATCAAAAAAAAAAAAAAAAAAAAAAAAAAAGGGTAAAGAAATTCACCAATTCACAGCAGGTCAAGAAACATAAATTAAAAACTATCTCACAAGCCTGCATCTTCCAAGTAAGTACAAGAAAACCTTGCAGAGAAGACTGGCCCTACAAGGTATTATTAACAAGAAACAAGATTAG